GGGAGAGGTGAATTGTTTATTTTTAAACTTAATTGTTACTAGTTGACTAGTTTTCCAATTAGTCAACTAGATGTAATAACTTGATAACAGTAATGACATAATTTAAGATGCTGAAATTAAATGCAGGAATTAAAGACACCAGAATTTTTATACCGGTTTGGATTCAATGTGAATCCTAGTCCAGTCCCCTTGGGTTGCAAGGGAGTTCTTTTTCAGAGAATGAGTTTCTTCGAGTACACGGAGAATGGTGTGATCTACACCGATAGCTCAGTTCCTATATCACTCGTTTCTTTTGATACAATGCCTCACCAGTGTTGTTCTCTCTTTCTTCTCTAACTTGTTACACATCAGGTCTTAGTAGAGCTATAATGTTTGTTTTCAGTAGAACAAAGAGAGAGTATTTGGTTCGATCAAAGTATGTTTTCTAAGGTGTGATTATAAGTTTAAATACTTTGAGAGAGACTTGAATTCTGGAGAGATTTGCCAACCCAAGAGATTTGCTCCTTGGAAAGAGATTGATTCTTTCCAAGAATAAGGTTATCCCACAACGGCTTTAACTGACGAGAGTCTTTAAAGATTTTCCTGTGCGTGATCCTGGAATCTTGATCCTTCCAGATTTAGATAGTTGATTAATTATCTGCAAGATCTTCGATTTACTTGATTTATTTGATTCCTTCAGTTTAGCCTTGATTGATTCCGTCAGTATCAATTGCTTCCTTTAATCATGTCTACTTTCCTTGATTTCCTCTGATTGATTCCTTCAATCTTGTATGCCAATCCATGCGTTCCTTGATCATTGCTGATTGATTCCTTCAATCTTGAATGGTATCCATGAGTTCCTATACAAAGAGCAAATATATTATTTTCATCATTAAAATTAGATCTAACAATCTCTCCTTTTTTGATGATGACAAAATAATATATATGTATAAACAACAGTTGACTTCCCTGTATTTTACTCTCCCACAATAAGAGCAGTTGACTTTGTCCGGTGCTAGTTTGCTTGAGGCATATGTAGTCGACTGCTTCAGGTTCTGTGACTCCCCCTCAAGGAGTGCCAAAGCTAACTTACCCTTAGTCGACTTATTATGTACCTGCACAATACATATATCCTTTCTCCCCCTTTTTGATATCAACAAAGAGGGAATAACAAAACACGACATGTGAAACATGATTCATAGCAGGATGTACCAACAGAGTTAGAACATAACCAAAAAAAAAATATCCACCGACTGATATTTCAGTCCAAAAACAGCACCGCAAAAAAACATTGTCTTAAACTTCCACAGTAGCGACACAGAAAATAGGTAAGAGTATTGCAAATAGCCTCCTTCAGTCGATCAAAGCTGGCATTGGCTGAGACACTCATTCCATCAAGCCTATCATGAACCTCCTTGAATGCCTTGACAGTATTTTCCCTCACTCTGAGAACCGCAACCCGTATCTTGGAGACATCAGACCCTGTTTCTTTAGAGATAGCATGAATGGTACCAATAATGGACTGAGTGGAAATGAGAAGATCTTTGATTGCAAAGAGTTGATTGTCAATGGCACTGAGTTTCTCAGCAAGGTCAGGATCACTATGGCTAGGATGAGAAGCAGAAGGTTTAGGTTTGGAGTCTGTATGAGCAGTCTTGACATCTCCTTCTTATTTCTTGACCCATGGGCCCTCACACACACATACCCCATACTTGCAAAAGCTATGGAGTTGTAAGATTTTGAAACAGAGGTAAAAAGATATGTAGAGATGGAAATATTGTGAGCTTCCAGAATGTGAGTGATTGCCATACCATATGGTAGACTAGTGAGATATTTTGCACTCTCAATCATAAAACTGATGACCTAGGAGGACAGTTTGATTTTGAGTTTGGTCACAAGGCAATATACCAGAAAAGTGTCTCTTAGAGAGAAGGTGGAGAAAAAGCCAATACGGGGAAGCAAAGTGGTTGCAACAATGTGGGCTAAAACACGAGTTTCGAAACTATCACTAGGGCCTATCTAGTTTGGGAGAGATTCAGATGGACACTCAGCAATACATCTCTTGGCTTGATCAAAGGAAATTTCAAAATCATCGGGCCAGGAATTTTTAAAAAAATATTGGGAAACTAGAACACTTACACTAAAAAATTGAATCAAACATGGCACAATCAAGAACAATACGCTTTCCTAACACTAAGGACTCCAACTTATCATACTTACTAGAGCGAAGATTAGCATAAAAAATTCTCACTAGGGGTTCATAGACTTTAGGCGGAGGAACAGAGAAGAACTTCGACCACCTTTGATAAATGAAAAGATACTTTACCTTACAATTTAGGGCTTCCATGTCATCAAGGTCGACTACCCTTCCATGAGCAATAGG